CCACTCAAATTTGCATCTTGGTCTGAGAATTGTCTGGGCAACGTCGTTGGTGCGGCAACCTGTGCCCATCATGTCACCCTTGCGAGCCTCATTGCGTCTGCGCGCACCAGCGCAAGCCCATCTCCGCTCTATCCTTACCCAACGTGTCGCCGTTCCCTCTACACGAAATCTCTCGCGCACCTACGCCACCGCCCCTCAAGATAGTTCCAAATCCACATCACAAGCGCTCGGAGCTTCTCAAGACGCTCAGGAATTGGCGGCAGATGCAGCGAACTTGAAAAAGGAGCAGGTGAAGGAGGAAGTTAGAAGTGGCGTTGCTCAGATCAGAGGAGAAGCTGAGGAAGCTGCACGAGCTGCAGAGAGCAATGTGCAGAGCGGATCTGACAAGGTGCAAGCTGTTGTTAAGAATGCAAAGTCTACGTACGCCGCTGGTCCATCCTTTGGCGGCAGTGGAGGCAACGGCAGCAGCGGTAGTGGAAGCAGTGTCGTGTCGAAGTTCACATCTCTGCTAAAGTGGACTCTCATCATCCTTGGCGGATCTTATGTAGTCGCGTACCACCTCGACAGCAGATCCGCTATTCATCGGTGGGTAGCTATCCCTGTCCTGCAACTCATCGCTAGTCCCGAGGAAGCGCAGAAGCTGGCAATCAAGCTCCTCAGCATGGGCGTCATGCCCAGAGATCTCGGCACAGACGACGAAGTTCTGAAAGTCGAGGTGAGTCGCTTGCATGCGTCCTTCATTGGCCCATGGCTGCTCGCGGGAGCCTGTCGGCGCGCGTGCTGATCGCCCACTTCCTTCTCTCACCAGCTCTTTGGAAAGCAATTGTCGAACCCGATAGGTTTGGCTGCGGGCTTTGACAAGCAAGGAGAAGCGATTGACGGCCTGTTAAACTTGGGGTGGGGAATGGTGGAGATCGGATCCGTTACGCCTCTTGCTCAACCCGGCAATGACTTGCCTCGCTACTTCAGATTGGAAAACGATCGGGCAGCAATCAATCGCTTCGGATTCAATTCGGACGGTCATGATGCTGTCTTGCACAGGTTGAGGGAGCGATTAAGCAGGTGGCTGCATTCGAGCGGAACCATCAACGATGTGAGAGTCCCCATCACCTCCGGACAAGCGGCGGATGAGATTCTTGCTAGGAACCCCGACATCGGACCGGCCTTGCTTGACGCTTCTGGGCTTCCGCGAAGCACCAAGCCAGGTCAGTTGCTCGGTATCAACCTTGGAAAGAACAAGTCTTCTGCGGCTGAAGATGTGTCGGACTACGAGGTCGGTGTGCAAAGTCTGGGCAGGTACGCTGATTTTCTCGTCATCAACATCTCATCTCCCAACACTCCGGGACTGAGGGCTTTGCAGAGGTATCAGACTTTGACAAGGTTGCTGTCAGCGGTAGTCAAAGCTAGAGACGACTTGCCGACTCCCAGGGCGCCCCTTCTCGTCAAGATTGCGCCCGACCTTTCCACTCAAGAGCTGCACGATGTAGCCGACGCTGCGCTCAGCGCCAAGATTGACGGGCTGATCATTTCCAACACGACGGTTTCGCGACCGGAGACGCTCAAGAGCGCACCGCACCTGATCGAAGAGACTGGAGGTCTTTCGGGACCACCTCTGAAACCCTTGGCTCTGAGAGCCCTGCAAATCGTGAGGGAGAGGGCGGGAGACAAGCTACCGCTGGTTGGGTGCGGAGGCATCTCGTCCGGCGCTGATGCGCTCGATTTTGCCAGAGCGGGAGCGAGCGCTGTGGAGCTGTACACGTCTTTTGGCTATGAAGGAGTCGGTCATCCCAGGCGCATCAAGGACGAATTGACCTCGTTGCTCAAGGCTCAAAACACAACCTGGGCAAAATCCATTGGCGCTGGTCTGCCTTCGCGAGAAGATGCGCAGGGCAAATTGCCGAGTGGGGAAAAGGAAATACAAGTCGTGGGAGGGGCGGCACAGCGGTTGGACAGTGTGAGAGCTGGCATCAAGGGCGAATTGGAAGGTTTGAGAAAGGCTTTGGGAGGATCCGCAATGCGGGAAACGAGAGCGGCGGCTTTCAGACCCGACCCGAAAGATTCGGCATACGTGTCGCTGCTGGACAGGGTACATGCCGTCTTGGGCACGGACTACCCATCGCACGAAGCCGACAGCGCCGGAGACATTTTGAACGCATCGCAAGAGAGTCTCAGCTCTTCAAGCACGATTGAGGCCCTCAAGGGTGCTTCCAGGGCTTCGACACAACAGACGACGAGAGCTCAGCAATTGCAAAAAGACTTGGAGGAAGCGTTGTTGGATGCTTCCTTTATCAGTGCAGGACTGCCCAGCGCGGACAAGTACAGCATCAGACCTCGCAGCAGGATCACGACGCGAAGAGATGAGCATGTTGACGCAGGAGCTGGGCGCACATCGGTTGTGGGAGAAGGCTTGGCGAAGAAAGTGAGCGAGGAGGTGGAGTGTGTGAAAGGAGAAGTGGAGAAGGGATGGAAAGAGGCCAAGGCGACCTTGCGTGCGTCTACCCCCACCCAGCTCGAGGGTGATGCGAAAAGCTGGAAAGAGGCCGATACGAGACGTCGGGTCTGAGAAAGCGCAAACCACTTTCAATGCATCAGGTTCGCGCCTTCTTCAATAACCTACGCGCCCAGATTGGCTTCGTATGCTTGGGCCGAAGCGTCCGCGTTTATCCAAGCATGCCTCGCGCTGCAACGGCCTCGCTCAGAACAAGCGCTACAAGGTTCTCGTAAACGTTTGAACCGATTGATTGACTGATTTGTCGCAGGTACGTTGGAGGTATTCTAGAATTTTGTGAGGCATGAGGAACATACAAGTGCTGTGCACGACGCGACCAGTGATGGGTAAAAGATTTAATGCTGCCATGGAAAGAGGACGGAACAGTCCGCGAGTGAGTGGGACGAAGAAGAAAAGAAAGCTGTTGTGAAGAAGGCGAAGAGGGGAGTGCGAATAGTAAGAGAAGAGTGCGATGGATGAGGTGTGTTGAGCGGCGAGAAGCTTGGCTTGATCTCGCTGCAGCTCAATCTGCGCTCGCTAGCTCGCAGCGCCTTTGCAAGATTGTCTCAGGAAAGCTGTGCATACCCATGCTTTACGCCATCCGCGTCCGGCTCCGGCAATTCGTAGCCCGAGGATCCCGATGAGTTTTTGACATGTTGCAAGGAAGCCTTTTCAGGTCTAGCGTTTTCCACTCTGTCTTCTCTCGACAAGTCCGAAAAAGGTCCTTCCATCATCGCGATGCTCCTCCGAGCCGAAGAGCTAGATCTCCGGAGCTCAGAAGGTCTGGGTGGCACCGGCGCTGCCCGAAGGGAGTTGGAGCGCTGTGGCGTCGAAGATGCGGATGCTTGACCAGACGGATACAATGGCGTTGGTCTGTCCAACGCTTTCTGTTCATATCCGTCGTCGACATCCGGCGCATCCTCGTCCAGCACTGCAACGTCGTCGCCTCCTTCCAACAAGCCTACGGTCCCTTCGTGCATAGGCCGACCCTTGGCTTTTTCCGCTGCTCGAGCTACCCAGCTGTGCTGCTCAGCCACGCCGACCATGTCATTCTTCAGATGATCGATAGGTCTGGACCCTTTCGCAGGACCCTCGTTCAGGCCAAGAAATCCCGACACTCTATCGCGAATTCCTTTTCCGCTTGAGGTACCCGTGGGAGGCTCTCCATCACGAGGGGACAGTGGTGTGACACCTCCGCTACTGCTCGTGATACTGTCCACCGCGCTCGGGCGTCTGACAGGTGGGGGAGGAGCGGGCGGAGGGTTTTGATGCAAAGCGCCACGCTCTCTACTCGCCTTCTCCCTCTCCCTTTCCAAGATCACGTGAGGTGGAATGCCCACATCCGCTTTCTTCGTAGTAGGGTTGAGGCGAAGACCACCACTCTGTGGTGTATCGAGCCGAGACTGCTTGCCAAAGCCGCGGTAGGTGCCAGCGTCAAACGCCGCTGGACCTTCCTCCAGCTTGCGGCGTGGTGGGGCAGGGATCATGCCATTGAGAGCGGCGCGCGATTGCAGCGTCTTGCTTCGGCCAAGAGGACGACCCCCTTCGCCCAAAGCGGCCACACTGGTTGATCCGTCAGACACGGGTCGATTCCATTGCGTGCCGACTGGTGCAGTGCCATCCAATATGGCGGCCGCAGCAGCTGCTCGCTCCACAGCCAGTTTTGTGAGCGGCTCTCCGATCGTCACGGGCAGATGAGCATCCGCATCTCGGGATGAGCGCATGAAGAAGGGGTTGTTGCGATCGATGGAAGCGGCCACGCTAGCCTGTCCACTTCGAGTATCGTCATCGTCCTCCTCTTCAGACTCTTGGTCCAAGAATTCGATACGCGAGGAAGACACGCTAGGCGGGGCGTCGACCGATGCATGCCCGCTCGACGAATTTCGCACCCGCGGCAGACTGGCGGAGCGAGGAGCTTCAAGTCCTACATCTCCCAAAGACGATCTTTGCAACTCTTCCTGCTCTCGGAGCCACGAGGGTAAGCCCCCTTTGCCATCCAATTTTCCGACGCTTCCGTAAGACGCCTTTGGCTTGTGCACCGTCAGTGCTCGCTGTGCACTTGGCACCACCACCCCGCTGCTGACTGCTCGAGGCGCTTTCAGCGGGGTAGATCCGCTTGCATGGGGTACAGCATGCTGGGGTCCCGCGGGTTCCTTGCCATCCACGCTGCTAGCAGGTCGTAACAGACCAGAAGGTATCTCGCTGATGCTCCGGCGAGGGTCGTAGCCGGCCGAAGCTGTAGGTCGCCGTCGGGGTGGAGGAGGAGCTGGCGTGACGGGAATGGGGGCCCCAGGTGGGGGGAGCTTGCCGTCCAGCAGGCGCGGTTCGACCCTTTTCACCGGTGCGCTACTCTGAATTACGCTGTACGTCTTTGGCGGCAGTGCGTCCTTCTTTGCGCGCACTTCTCTCGACGCAGCGAGACCAGCTTGAATAAGAGGATTTGCACCGCGGGGTGGTAGAGGCGGAGCAGCTCGATCGGTAGCGAGAGGTCGGGGTGGAAGGGGTGGAGAGCCAAGATTTGCTAGCCTTTGACCGGGCGCCACTGAAGTCTCCTCGCTATCCGCCACACTGCCATGCAAGCTTCCCTCCCGACCGCCTCGACCGATCACCGGCGACCGAGAGCTCTCTCTGTCTCTCTCACGCCGGCCTGACGCGGCTGTGCTCGAGCGCGATGGCACTTGCCCTGCCGTGACAGATGTGCTGGCATCTGCTGAGACGGGCACCGGCTTGACCGGCTTCGGCTTGACGGCGACCGGCGCAGTGCTGCCGCCCGACGCATGCGACTCCTTGAAAGCGTGGACGCCAGCTTCTGAAGCGGAAACAGCAATAGGAGCTACCACCTTAGATTCTGGCAGCGCGGAAGCATTCCACAGGACAGGGGTGGGTCTGAATGGATTTGCAGGCGATCGACCATGTTCTACTTCGTTTGCCTTGGGGGCAGCGTGAGACTTGTTTGCGGCCTCTTGCATTGCTGAAAGTTTGGTGGGTGTGGGTGTCAGAGGTGCTTGAAGACTATTGCCAGGCACGGGAGTCACTGTTGCAGTCGCAACCGGAGCAGGTGCGAGGGTGATGGATCTCGAGGGTTTAGACGGAACCTCTGGCGGCGCGCGGGATTTCGTCGGGCTACTACTGCTAGCGCTGCTCTGATTGCTGTTGACGCTAGCCTTGGCATTTGAGCTTGCTATGTGCTGGGGAGGGGGCTGAATCGAGCCCGCGCCTACTCGCACCGGCACAGTCTGCGTGAAGACGGCTTCTGGACTGACTGGATCACCTCGTTGAGCGTGCGAAGCGAGTCGCAAAACTGCATACACGACGCCAGTAGGCAAGCCGTACGGGTAGCGCTCGAGCAGGGAGAATATCTAAGCAGCGGGGAGGTGTACGGATTAGCTGCCGTGTACTTGTGAGCTCTGTAGCAGAGCATACAAAGCCTTAAGACTTACTTGCACTTCTTGGTCGACACCAATGTTACATTCATCTCTAAGAAACCGCAAAAGATCGGACTCTTCGATGTGTCCCTCCTTACCACTTCTGGCAGCCTGCAAGCCCACGACGTAGCCAGGCAGGATGGCATACTCGGTAGGCGAAAGCGCTGATACGTCGAGATCCGGTACGCGCGCGCTCCTCGATGAGGAGGCTACGGTGGAGGCCATCGTGAACGCAGACACGCGTGAGTGTCAAAGGGGTATCAAGCTCGGAAAGACTCGTTTGATTTCCACCTCGAGCGAGCCTTGAGCTCAGCAGCCGTCTTGTGCGACGTCCTGGTTGATGTCGCCTTATTCGCGTGCTAGGCTGATGCTTGGGAGCGTCGTTGAATCCAAGATGTGATTCCGGTGAGCAAGGAGGGGCTTCGCGAAGCGCCAAGCAGCCCAGTGAGCAGCCTTGTGGTTTACTTTCCTTGGGCGCTGGTTAAGATGGCGGGTATCAGTGAGGAGGGTCAAGGCTTATCTGGAGGTTGGTGGGAGTGAGAGCATGCGGCCAGCTTCTGCTTGCACAAGTAAGCATGTGTATACGTGGTCCATGTGGATGGGCGGGCTCGAAGGAGCGCGTACGCGTGGCATATGAATGGATGTGCGTGGGCGCGGGGCTGCTCAAGCGCATGGCAGCGATGAGCGCCTCGCCTGCAGTCGTGCTGCTGCTGAAGTGCTGCACGCTGATGATGCTTGACGATGCATGGCTGACGGGCTGCAAACAAGCATCAGCGCGCACAGATTTGTCTGCGCGCGTGGTGCATGCATGCAGCCTGCAGCAACCGCCGAGGTGATGGATCTGTCATACACCGGTACCGGTACGGTAGCATACACTGCGTTACCACATACACTGCAGCTGGTACGTCTCTCTGTCTAGGCCCTTCTTCTTCAAGCCCCCATACAAGGGGCGCTAGTTGTATCAAGTCATCGCGATCTCGTATCTGTGATCCACGAAGTGGATATGACGAGCCCAATTGACCCCGGGCGGGTGACAAGCCCGCGCTACAAGTGGCCTCCACCGCTCGGACAGGGATACATTCGGGAGTCTTGATTGACTCACACTCATCTCTGACTGTACTGTATCTGACGTGCACGCGCACCAGGCACAGGTACGCGAGATCGGACGCGCTCAATGACGGCATTTGTAGCTGCTGCATACGTACTCTCTCACTGTACGATGGATGAGGCGTGTGCTGCCCTGCTGCATGCCTGCGCCCGCCTGTAGAAACTCTTGACTTCATCCGCGGCTCCTGTCAGGCTCCGGACGCAAAGCTCCGGTCGAGGGAGAGAGCAGAAGAACAGCATCGTGCGGGCCAGGCGGATAAGCATCACAAGTCGCGAGTGTGCAGGTTCATGCAGTCACGAGTCACGAGTCACGAGTCACGAGTCACGAGTGGCGGTGATTGTCACTTCAAGCAGCAGCACTTGATCAGCACTCGCACTCGTGACTCACGCAGCAGCATGCATCGAGAAAGGGCTCGGCTCGCCTAGCTTGTCGTCTCATACATTGAGCAGCCACTACGCAAAAGCAGCATTGAGTGATGGGTGCTTGCATGACTGCTGCTGTAGGTAACCTCTGATCTGACCCTGGGGCGTGGCTGGCTGCATGCTTGCTGGGCTTACCTGCGTGTAACGTGAACCCCTTGGACTCGATCGTGACGCGGTTCTTGCGTGTAGCCTCGCGCCTGCCACGCGACATCATCTCCCACTACTTTGATCGAGCACTCACGACTCCTTGTATCCATGGCGCCAAGTTTGCGGCCAATGTGAGCGTCTCAAGTCAGGTGAACTAACTACGCAGACTAGAAGAAGACCAGGGGGAATGTCCTCCTCCTACAGCACTATGGAGGCTCCAATCTGCTGGATCTGTTCGAGACGGCTCGGTGTGCGAAACGGTCGCGCGATGCAGTCAAGATTTGAATCCAGAATTTGATATTCGCATCGAAATCAAATCAAGAATGTTGAACTCGAAATTGGAATTGATGGTAAACACAAGCTTCATAGCTGGCACGTGATGATGCGCCACCTTTGGGAAAGCTAGCTGCGGTGGAACGTGAGTCGCAAGACTCGTGACTCTGGACTCTTGACTCTGTCTGCGTGGGTCGCTGACCTAAAAATCGAGTCGTGAGTATCATCTGACGCGCCTCCACCAAAAGCGCGACTCCGACCTGCTGATGATGCAAGAAGCGACGTGTCACGAAGCACACATCTGTCCATCGCTGAATGTGAATAAAGCTGGCTTCATCTACTCAACACTTCACGCTTTCCGGTCTCTAAAGCACAGTCCACGTTGCGACTTGAGCTGAGCGCGCATCCTTTCCCGACAGGCTCTGATGCTGTGCGTAGGGGTCAGTCACCTCATGCAGTACTCGAGCGCAGCGCGTCCGCAGAGATGTCGAATTCTCTACTGAGCCTGCTCAATGCAGGCAGGAACAACGGCAACGCTGCTTCTCCGTCGGGCTCACAGTCTCATTTTAGCTCGCCCAAGGTTGGTGCGGGTGCGGTTGCGAGCGATGTGTCCACTAAGCCGTCACCAAGCAACATGGATCGTTTAGGAAGTCAAGCAGCCGTACCTAAAGGAAGCAACAGTCCGTCCGGCGCCAGCAAGGATGCTTCGTCCCTGTTGGCACAGCTCTTATCGCCTTCCACCGTACCTGCTTCTCCGACAAGTCTGACTGCTACCTCAAGCACATCAGCTACTCTGCCTGCCAGCATACAAGCTGACCAGCGCCCATCGTCTGCATCTTCGCCACGAGGTCCAAGGGCGAGCGAGAGCGCCGCAAGCCTCCTAGCTCTTCTCAGCTCCGGTCCATCTAGTCCTGGCAACGCGAAGAGCTTCGTTGCGAGCTCGGAACCTACGCCACTTTCACCTCTTGCCCCCTCTGCATCTGCTTCAAAATTACCGCTTACCAATCCGAACCCTGACACTGATCTCGCCCTCGCCGTATCAAAGTCCCCGCAGACGGCCACGTCCCAACCAGCTGCTTTCGACTTGGCGTCGCCTTTCGCTTTGCTCGGCCAGAGCAAAGATATAGTGCAGAAGCCTACCGAACCTGCTGCAGAGGGGGCTGTTGAGGGCCTGGAAGCTCTGGGATCGCAGCTCAAGGCGACGGAAGCTGGCTCAGAGGCGCCATCATCCGGGCCTTCATCCAAGCCAGTGAACGGCGCAGCTGCAGGGAGAGGGGTTGTGGATCCAACGAGGAGCGCCTCAGCTTCTCTTGAGTCATCGCAAATGGCGTCGGAGCAGGAGCGCAAACCTCCAGCCGAGCCTGTTCAGGCCGGAGAGGTGCAATCAAAACCTCTTGCTTTGGATCACCTAAAACAGCTCCACTCCCAGTCATCTTTTTCCTTGTCTTCGACCTCCGGCGCTCAGCTCCTCGCCTCAGAAGCGGGTGTCACTTCGCATGTATTCGATGTAGATGCAGTCCAGCCCTTAGGTCCGAACACGCTCCACCCAGCAAAGCTCGAGGTCTCCCCAATAGCTCTGCTCTCTTCGCCTTTCAGCCGACCTTCATTCTTGCTCGGACACAAAATCGCTGCATTCGGCGAGAACGTTCTGTATGTCATGCCTGGCAAGGGACGCGCGCGACTTCTGCATACTAGGACCGGAGCAAGAGCTCTCTTGCGGCTTGATGGACTGGAAGGTGTGGCCGTGCAGGAAATCGCAGAGCTAGGTTGGGTTCTCAGAGGAGGAGCACGTGGTGCAGAAACAGAACACGCAACGCTTGGCGTTTGGAAAGTGCCCAGAGACTTTGGTCTCGTCGATGGAGCCTTGCCAACTTTGATTCAGACGGTGAATGTGCACCTGCAGGAAGCCAGCTTGAACATGTACCGGCGAGGGTCTCCCGACGCTCCACCTGTACACTTGGTACCAACAGACACGTTGGCATCGCCCCAAGCAGCTTTGAGCTTTGAGAACATCCCAGCGACCTCGCAGGTAAGTCCTCGAAGCTGAGCTGCGCCGCTGAATCGTGGCTCATCACTTTACCCCCCTCACACAGATCGTGGCGACTTCGACTTCGGTGGACGGAAAGTACGTCTGCATTCTGCGCCAAGGATCGAATGCACTACTCTCTGCGTGTGTCACAAGAGCTGATTGGCTTTCGGCCAACTCGGCTCATGCGCGCGAAGCACCTCATCTGGTGCTGCAACTGCCCCTGGGACTTGCAGACCCAGACTATGTGGGCTTAGTTGGACCAGAGCGTCAACGAGTTCGCTCGATCGTGCTGGGGTTTGACGGATGTAAGCGGATCATCATGGTCGATGTCGAGACCGCGAAGGTCCAGCTGCAAGTGGAGCTGAAAGGAGAAGAGTGGGCTTTCAGCCGCATACATCCTCGAGGAGATGCACTTTACCTTGCAAGCGCAAAGCGCGCTTCAATACTGGTACTTCCTTTGCGATGGCCCGAGTCCGCCGCCGCCGATGAGCTTGTAGGCCCAGTCCTGGGCGTCGATGGAGGGAAGAGACAGCCGGAGCCCTTGCGCCTTGGTGAGCTAGTGGAGTATGCCTTGCCGCAACCTTGCATATCTTTCGACATAGTCATCGCAGGCCAGAGCGAGCAGCTGGCTGCTGCTCACCCAGGTGGAATTCATCTAGTAAACTTGCCGGCGCTGTCCCCATACGAGCCCATCCCAATTCTGAGCAGGCCAGTGGCGGACCGCGTGGCTACTAATTCTACGCCAGCCGTTGCTCAGCCGGTCGACGTATCTACATCCTCCGAAATCGCTCCAGACATCGCTGACATGGCGCAGACCGAGGACTGCACATCGGCAACACCCAGCATTGCAGCTCAGCCTGCCCCCTCTGAGGAACAACCCCCGATTGCAGCTTCCGAGCCAGATCTTCAGCCATCGCTTGGCAGCGATCACAGAGAAGCGCCAGTAAAAGATCGCGTCGCTCCGGTATCCCGCCCTGGCGAGCCCAACACTCTGCCAGCTCTTGGGGCTCCTGCGGAGCATAGAGACCAGACACACGACGATTCTGAACTCGGTGTCATTTCCAAAGACGATGCTGATCGTGAGCCGGCGGCTCTAGACCCTGCAGACCTCTTCCGCGCGGAGCAGCCGCGAGCACAGGCGCCCAAAACGCCACCTCCTACCGGAGCGGCCCCCCGCACACCAAAGGCAGGCCCGCAAGCTGCAAAAGCCAAAGCCTTGTCGTCCGTGCTTGCTCAGAGCACCGCATCACCGGAGAGTAGCGTCCAGGCTATCGAGAGTAGCCCGGCATCCACGTCGCGCAAGAGTCGCAAGAAAGCGGCGCACGAGCGCGCGGCCAGCAAAGGAGCCTCTGCCGGGCCCAAAGAAGCGTTTCCTGCTTCTTCGACACCGTCCGTTGCCACGCCGGACAAGGGGCTCGCACGCTCGTTGCGCGATATGGAAGCAAACGTCGCGCCAGAGAGCTCAGCAAATGTCACCGTGCCAGATTTGGAGGCGCTCATAAAGGAGATGGAGCAGCGTTTGCTGGCCTCGCTAGAGCGAGACCAAAACGCGCACAAAGGCCTTGCCATCGGCCCTGAGTTCGCTCGGAGCGTCGTTGCCTCGCTCCTTCCGCAGATCAGCCACATCGTCAGCGAAAGCGTCAGGATGCAGATGAA